GCCGCCCCTGCCCTCCGGCGATATTGATGTATTGAGGCTGATGAATTATCAGGGTTCCTAGGTGCATGCTTTGAGAAACTATAACATTTTTTGTTTCATTAGTAATCGCTGATTTATGCCAAATGAACACTTTCTAAGCTTTACTTCTACTTCTACTTCTATGGTAATACCATAGAGATATATACTTAATAAGGCTAGAGTGCGGACTCGTCATACGCGCCCGTTCAAAGCTCTGTGCGCGCATGGAGCGCGGTCCGCCATTACTAAGGAGGGCACAACTTCGAGAAATACCCGGATGTTCCCTTCGAAACTGTGCTACTGATAAGCAATGTGAAGCTTCATTTTTCGAGTTGATTTATCGGTTTTCGAGTATGAAACGTTATAATTGTGGTATTTTGCATAATGCATGAACCCTACTCATGCCTCAGTCATGGTATCTGGTGTAGGTCAAGATTAATTACGGGTGTTATGGTGAGGTAAAAGGGACACAAAAAGCTATTTATATTTCAGTATATCTTCAATTTTTCTTCCTCTTTGTCAATATAAAACTGCGATATTATGACATCAAATATTACTTGGCTTTCAACCAATCAGAATCAAGCATTTGGGACTTGTATTTGATATTTATGTCATGATATTAACCAAAGTTTTATGCTACAGGGCCAATGCCGGGGGTCAATGTCTTTCTAATTCAGTTATTATGAGAGCCAGGGTTTATTGATTTAAAACGCTTTAAAGGTTATATATTCATTTTATGTTTATGGCTATTATAAACAGATTGATACTTATAGATTTGGGATAGAGATGGGTATGTAGATAGCTAGACACATAAATAGATGGATAGATAGATATAACATAGAAGGATAGGTAGATAATGGAAATGCAGATATAGGATGATACTGAAGATAGGAAGAGGGGAAAGGAAAGAATTATACACATTTATTTTAAAAAAATTATGTTATTTACTCATCCAATCATTCATCCATCCATCCAAACATTCTTTTTCTTCTTCTCTCACTCATTTTATATCAAATTCACACCTTATGTCTTTCACCTAATCTCTATAAAATTTCTATATGTCTGAAAGAATAATTCAATTTTTTACAGTTCACTATAAATATATATGAATATTCTTTAAAAACAGCTGATCATTGATGTAATAATTATTTATTCACATCACCTTTTTTCTCCATAAATAATATTCTCCTTGATACAGTGTATTTCTTATTTTCTTCATCAACCAGTTTTAGAGAATAAACTTATAATTCAATTTGAAGGAAAAAAATGAATAAATGAACCGTTTATTACCACACGGCACACGTGTGTTGATATTCTACAGCATAGGCATTTAAGTTTTGACATTTTATTATACTGCAATAATACAACACAATTGAAAGGACAGACATTGCAAAAACAACACCTCAGATTTTAGCCCCAAATTTACTGTCACGGATCATAGGCAACACAACCACGACAAATTGATTCGCCACCAAAGACAAGCATTACACATCCCAAAACCGCCACAATAACTCCCAAAACATAAATGTCAGGAGGCCAATGTCTATGTGTCAAGATGTCAGCGATAACGAACACTTTATTAACTAGTCTTGGCTCCAAGCGCACGCAGGCGCGTTACATTTACTAATAATACAAAGACATTTCATCGAGTAATAAATGCAAACCAGAAAAAGTAATTGAGCATATATTCCAAGTCACCTGTATTGCTATGAAGAACTATAATTGAAGAGACTTACATCTCAGGATACTGCACTACACTATTCAGTGAAACCTCATAGTAACATGGTCTTTTGACATCATTATTCATCAGGTATAAAAATAAATTTGAAACTGATTACCCTCAAATGTACACAGTAGATACAAGCCAAAGAGTGCACAATCTTATGGGTTTACATCTAGTGACATTATTCCATATAATTGTTCTGTTATCAAATCTCTTCAAAAGCAGTTTTCCATTTTGGAACAAAATTCAAACCTATGTACAAAACGATCTATGGGTGTGTATATGGTGTGCAACTGTGCATTACACAAGCTTTTCAATTGCAACTCATCTGTGAATTCTTCTCGTTTATTGAAAATGGGCTCACTTGATGTGAATTTCTTGCTTTTCATCTTTAATGATGTAAATCACTTGGTTGAGAGCAATTAATCCAGACAATATTATAAAAAAAGGTCTACATGTTTATCTCAGGTTATCCATACTGTACCTGCAGAATCAAAGCACATGTAGAGTGCAAATAATTTGCAAAAATTATAGCAACTGAATCAGATACAGCAGGTACAATTATGAAGCTTATAGAGTAAATATTCAAATACAGTGTACCTCACAACAACTCAAAATTCAAGTACATTTTGTTTAACCCCTAATTTAATCAACTCTTCTAAGTTCCACTTTAGTTTGCCTTCGTGTAAAGTTAACAAACAGAAAATTATGGTTAGGTTGTGCAACTGTCACAATGTGTCCCAAGAATTTTATTTCATTACACAGAACAAAAGTCTCAGATTGTTCTGTTTTTTTAAAAGATTATTGAAAGCTCTCTCCAGTTTTAAACGGCTTCACAGTCAATCATCCAGTGGATAAGCTATGCAGACAAGAGGCAAAATATAAAAGACTGATCTGTCTTTGTAGTTTGTACGAATGAAGTTCTATGTTTTGGATTTTTTTCCTGAAAATGCGTTCTCTCCAAAGTTGTGTTGAAGTAGGTCAAGCTGATCCTGGCTAATGAGCTTGCTTTCATGGACTTCCTGCAAGAGAGTCCTGGTTTTTCCATCTCTCTTGTTTACCTTGTTTCACCACTTGAAGCTGTTTCTTGGCATCCTGCACTTGCTGTCTGGTTATATTCAGTTTCTAATCAACTCAGACAGAAAAAGAATAGTCATGTTCTTTTGTAATGTCATAGGGTTTCTTTGGAGGCACGGGAACACTTTCGGATGTTGTACATGGTTTTGCTGGGAGTCTTGAGCCATGGGTCTGTTTATAGGGAGGATGTCCAGGAAAGACAGTAGGCACAGCTCTAGGAATGAGATGTGGTGTGTAACATCCTTTCCTCTCTTGAGTGTATTCCTGCATTACAATAAAAGCAAATGGAAACAATAATGAGTTTTTTCTCATAACATGACAATTGTTCTACTATTCATGCTATTTCATGTGATTTTTAAGACTGAAACTGAAAGCAGCTTCCAGCCAAATAAATAAAATAATAATAATGTCAGCAAGTCATAAGCAAATTTGATAGAAATAGTGTAGTGTGTGGTGGGATTTTTAGGCTTGCCTAGCCTAGTTGGATAACTCCTGTGATGTGAAATATGGCAGGCTAGCCTGGCTTAGACCAAAAGCTTCAGTCTCTCTATATCGTCGGTTGTTCTACTGAGACTGCGTCTGGCTCCACTAGACCTCTGATTATATTATGGGGAATGTCAACAAATGTCAGTTTTATTAAAGAAATGACCCATATCAGACGGTTATTTCTGTCTAACCTGGCTTTGCTTTTCAGGCTTTAGAAATTAGAGACTAGAGTTTAGATCTAGAGTCTAGAGTCTAGATCTATCATCTAGCTAGTTAGCTCTAGCCTCTAGTCTAGTCTAGTTAAAATATAAAGAAGCTGACATTTGATTTTTAATTTATCTTGAAATTAGATAAGATCAAATTAATTATATCATTTTATTCTAGACTTTTCTTTAATAGAATCAAGCTCATGGAGTTATATTTCCGAGTTGGACTCTCTGACTCTTGGAGTTGCGAGCGACTCCAGCGCAGCAGAATTTTCCCATCACCATCCCCAGAACCTTAACCCATGCCTGCCCCAGCCCGGCGGGCGTGGACTGGCGCGCTCCGCTGCTGCAGGAGCTGCCGTGGCTTGTCATGAGACAACCCGGGTACAGACTACTGCTACAGTCACTGCATAAACTACATTTTTAGCTCTAAAATCTCCTTATTAATCAACATAACATTAAGAAGAACTTACTTGTGAAATATTATGCAGTTCCCTTTCTTTCTTCGGTTCGAACATCCAAATGCAACGCACGAACCTGGCTTCTTCAATTTTTCCACGTATGTTGTGCAGAGTATCTTGTTGGGTCGTCCGTTTTTCTGCCCTCCTTAGTAATGGCGGCCACCGCTCCAGCTCGGAGCAGCAATTTGAGCGAGTACGCCCTCTAGTGTTTAGTAGTATATATCTCTATGGGTAATACTCATCAACGCCTGTTCAGCATCTAGATGAGGGTAAAGCATAGAGTTGTTATATACAGCTTCACTGATTCTGAATTGCCGTGAGCACAATTTTTGAGCTATGACAGAACATCAAAAAGTTCTCCTTTTATGTCCCCATCCCTTAGTATAAAGTCGCCCTCACTAAACAGCCGCACAATAACTCCACCGTATAAATTATGGCACCCATCATAACTTCGGGAAAAGTGGAAATGGGTCTTCTGGGAGTCCCTCTATAAAAGTTTTGTGAAGCGGTGTCTGCAAAGTTATATGACTCTGCTAGGCCTTCCAATGGTACAGTTTACATAATTTTGTTGATAGGCCTACTTTGTCATTATTATTGCTATTAAAATTAATTATCATCATCATCATTTTCGTCAAGATTCTCCCCTATCTCGGTCTCCACTCCGCTCCTCTAGTGTTTTATCTCCTCCATTTACAAAATGTACATTATCATGTTGAGCGACTGAATGCCGGCGTGCTTAGTCTGCATACACAGACCCTTGCATGATATGTAAACACTATTGCATTCAAATTTGAGCCTAGCACAACTTATCAAGTTTTCGGCTGTATTAAATATTAGTAAAAGGCCTACGAAGAAAGTATGAGGATGAAAGTTTTTAAAGTCTTAAAAAGTTTAATTTGATACTCGTGTACAAAGGTTTGTGTCTGCAAACTACGCCACGCCCGCGCGTATGCGCCGCGCGCGCCAGCGTAGTTTTCGACAAAATTTGCATAGAGTCGATATGCATAGCCTATGCTGCATGGATGCTGTGGAATCCTAACAAGTTAGAGCTTTTATCCTGAGAAATCTTCTCTTTCTTTGGGATTGCCTTTTTGAATCAGCCATACGAGAATGAATTTGGCAGTATAAGTTCCTTGGTAAGTTTAGGAAATTGTGAATTGTCTCTAACAAAGTATTTTTCCTTCGATTTTCCATTTACAAGGTCGAAGTCGGGCGACGGAGTAGGCCTACGTGATGTTGATGGCAACTCCGGGGTCTTGGAGCCGGGTTCTCGCCTGGGCCGCTTGGCTTAGCCGTAGTGTTGCACTTGCAGTACCGTACAGTGTCTACGAATCGATGTCACATGCAGTCAAATGCACTGCTGACGCTCGCTCCGGTTCAGGAACAGTGTGGTCTCTGTCGGTGTCAGTGTTTTTCTGTTCATTACGCGGGAGCGGAGCCCTATGTGACTCTCACTCTGCACATCTAATATTTCGACTTGAAATTCTTTAATATTTCTAAATTCTATGTAGACTAAGGAGGCAATTGGCTAAATCGTATATCCGGTAGGCATTACGCCATAGGCATTAGATCTAACTTTAGATTTAGATCTAGGCTGCTTTAGTAGGGAGGCCAATGCCAAAATCTAACTTTTTAATTAAAACAAACATTATAAGAAAGCATTTTCTTTCACTAAGAAAACTCACCCATCTGCCGACTCCAGAAGTTCCATAAAATAGGAGATATCCAGCTATTTTCTAGGCCCTTCCTTCTATGCCTGGCCGTACGTAAGAGCCTAGAAACAATCAATTTCATGTCCCCGAAAATTACGTTGAGAATTAGACAGGCCCGAGGGAAAAGGCGTGTCATTGCCCGAACAACAAGTTCAAAACTTCGCGCAAAAGTACATTCATCATCCGGCTAGCCTTGAATCGGTCGCACATGCCGAACCACTTCAACCAGGCAAGCCGCAATGGAATACCGGCTGAAGTTAAAATCGAACCATCAATGTACGTACTAAGGCTGCGACGGGTAGTCGAATGCTCGAGTACCTGCACGGTTGACAACTACTCGGGTACGATTTCTCGTTCTCGAATATTCGGCCGCAAAAAAAATAATTTAAAAAAAAAAAATGTCCAGGCCCACGCTTTCCCGTGCCAGGGAGAGCGGCGGCCGCTGGCATGGTGCCGTCGGTAAAAATGTTTCCCAACTCAAGCACTGTCAAACTCGCCTTTCAGAAACTGGGACCAAATGTCCAGATTTCTGTTTGGACTTGGAGGAAAATGGATTATTCTGCCATCTTTGGTTTTTAAAACAGCATTGTTTACTGTTATTATTCTTATTAAATCGGCGCCTTCAACTGCAACTCGAGGTAAAATTGCATGCGTTTTCGGCGAGGGACCTGGGAAACTGCCGAGTGGTATGGTAGTGGGAAAAAATAGAAAAAATAAAAAAATTTTTTAAAAAATTCAAAAATTCAAAAAAATTCAAAAAAATTCAAAAAAATTATAAAAAACATAGCATCCGAATATTTTTTATTCACATATAAAAAAAAATGGTGAAAAACTATCCCAAATTTAAAATTCGTCCAGACACCCTAACTAAACATTAGCTGGATCGACATGATTCTTAAATTGATTTTTTCAATCTTTCATAGTTTCATTTCAATTTTCACTGGTCTGGTACTGGTTGAGATTTGGAGAAGTTCCCTAAAGTGTTTAATTAAACCAGTGTGATTTATTATTCATTGGGTATCCATACTTGGCACACATTTTTCAGTTTGAGGATTGTGATTTTTTAATTCATGATTTGAGATCAAATTTATACCAAACAGGAGGCAAAACTTTAGACTACTATTGGGCATAACAAGACAATTTATTGATGAAGAATTCTCGGGGTATCACAATATCAAACCTGGATTTTGGATCGCAACACACAACACTTTGGGAACATGAAATAATTTATTCAAAATATGAATTCATCGGAGGTAAGGTCATTGCATCGATTGGAAGGCAAAATATCTTACAATAGGTTGGTCTCATTTTTCTTTACGATTCAATGATATCTCTAGAATTTACGGATTTTTCAACTCGTCACTAATAAAAATGAAGGCCTTGTCTCTCCGCAACTGCTTTTCACAGTTTGGCCCGGGAAGCAGAGTTGCTCGGAGGTCTACTGGGGCACAGCTCATGGGTCGCGCTATTTCTCCGAACCGGAAATTAGCCTGGGAAGGTCCAATATAAATTTATGTGTGTTTCAAAACAGCTTTGCGTTTATCATCTCTCAGAAACGTGATTCTGGCTCACTCTCATATCCAGAACACACTTTTTTGGCATTTCAATAAACCCATATCTAAAGAGGTTTGAAAAGAGGATTGCGTATATCCCCATGCAAATTTGCCTGAAACGCGTTTGAAAAACGCTGATTCTAGGAGACCCTTGGAGAGGTGTTAAACTGTTGATTAAGCCAGACAGACAATGATGAGCAAGTACTTATTGCATTTCTTAGATCAACCAACAAGCAACCATTTTGATATGTACTCTGGACATTGATGAAATTTATTCATCATCGCACAGGCAACAAATAGAGTTCAAGTTATAGAGGCTGTATATTAAAGTCCAAAATTAACCCAAAACAGGATTCTTCTGGCAGAGTTTTGTAGTCTCTGAAGTTGCCCAAGATTCCTCTTGTTAAGAACTTTAAAAGAGCACTACAGAAGTCAAGGCTGGATAGGAGTAGATCTCTCAGTGCATCATTACATGGCAATAGACCAGTTCACGGTTAGCCAAATGACCCTGAATATCCGAAGATCTTTGAAACATGAAGAGGTCCCACTTTGTACATTTTGAAATAATCACTCCTACAGCGATTGAGGTGTTACATAAATAGTCTTTAATGCTAATTACTCATTGCGGATGTAGTTTCGAAAATGATATCGCAAGTGATATTCGTTTGTCTTGCTTGTTTACATTAGATTGTATCACCTGACGAAGTGTTGCAGCGGTGCACGAAACGTCGTGATCTTTTAGATCCCTTGTTGACCATACATTGCAAGACAAACAAATATCACTAGCGATATTATTTTCGATAAATAGCATTTCCCCTTTTCAAAGAATACTTCCACCTGTGTATCATGGAGTGCACTTTCATGAGCACATATCCAGTATTTTGTCTGATTGTCTCTGTGTTTTTCACAATTTGGTATGCATACATACTGACCTTTATCTGCTCATGCTCGGACTGCAACTATGAACTGGCTTATTGATACACCACTTCACTCTCCAGACACTACGCAGGTGATACTTGATGTTTCTGCTCATCACCATGTTCTCATGTGTAAAATGAAGTTTGCATATGGTTAAAATTTTACACCTAGATCGCAGACAGACAGACATACATGTACAGTACATGTACATGGCTGGCAGGGGGTGCCATTCAATGTCAATATGTAGTAGACAATTTAGAATCTTAGAAAGCCCCAGAGAAATTACTTTATTGTTTTAATGCTTCCCCATCCTTCTCGTCATTCCTACTGTTTATCCATATATGGCTTAGTGGCAGAGATGTCTGCATAACCTATACTGTACAGTCTGCTGTTTGCCGTTTCATTTTTGCTATCCTGCTCTCTAAGGGAGTGAATGTCTCTTTATAAACTCTCACATCTGGAGAATTTTTAGTTTTTAATCAGTTTACTGAGTGTACCTGTATAGCCCTAGAAAAATTTAAAAAAAATTAAAACAATGTTATCGCCTTATCGGATGCCTGTTGAATATATGGCAAACATGTTTTTACAATGAAGTTGGGTTATGTTCAGCAAAGATTTAAACTCAATGATGATGCAATTTTGTTTGTTCTTTACTGGTAGATGTAGGTTCTTGATGTAAAGACACAGGGATTCATGCTTCACAGGATTACGTGTACAGTAGGTATGTATCATACACAGTTCAGTGCACACCGTTAAATCAGCAAAGAACAAAAATGGTTCTAAAATGTATGGACATCAATAAAAGCATTAAATCAAAGGAACTAATGTACAGTATGTATATTTTGGAACTAATATGTATATAATTTTGGAGAAATAAAACAGTTTTCTTGCGTGGCAGCGTTTTGGTCATTCAAAACATGTATCTTGATCCTGTGCAGGTGAGTTGGATAACCATATGATTTTTAGGACACGTGCTCTGGCAAGAATTGCCTGTGGTTGATTTCCAACAAATAATGAATTCCTAATTTCAACTGTGGACAAACGCTTTAGCTAAACCTAACCATAAATAAACCTAATCTAAAACCCATTTGCGAACCTACATTGTAAAGATTAGTATAACCCTATCTTTTTGGCAAAATAGAGCCCAAGGCACTTTTGCAGGAGCAAATGTAGGGTCACGCACCGTAAGTGTCATTAGTAAGAAAACAAACATGCCTTGCTAATATTTCTTGATGCTTTTATGGCTACAATCATGTAACATGTACAAATTAAAAATATCATAGGGAAAGTCCACTCAGGCGCCAATAGTGTTCCAACACTCACTCTACCGACAATTGCTGAGGGTTTTATCTTGTCAAAGAAAAAGGGTTATGTACATGTATATTGTTTGGTCCAGGGCTGGAGATGGGAATTTCGTTTGTGTAGTATATTGATGATGGGAGTTTTCGTTGTTGGATTGTTGTCAAGTAAACACATCCAGTTCACTTTGATAAGACAAGAAAATATATAAGAAAGAGATCATTGAAAGTATGAACAATATTTGAATAAAGATAAGATGGTTATTAAGTTTTGAAGTTCTGATTGATCAAACACATTTGTTATTTTTTTTTTTAATCTCAAAAGAAATATCTATGCCCTAGAATTGTACATAGTACAGTACAATGATATTTGAACTGATAGCATGTGTAAAAAAAGGTCATTATGAGCACAATTATCTGAGATTTCTTGAGTACATTTTGTTGAGTGTTTGGTCCAGGGTTGGAGACTGGAATTTGGTCCAGTATTCTTTCATTCTTATTCATTGCCCTAAATGTAATGCATTTGTCATGATGCCAAAGTTTTAAGAGATGTTATTTCTACCACATATATAAGGTTCTAGGAGTTGTTGGAGAACCACCTGAACTGACTTACTGGCAAGTTAGTGACTGGACACCTTGATATCTTTGGAACCTTCATTTGGTCTTTTGGCACTTCTCAAGGAACCCATCTTTGAGGACTAGGAAGGAACTGATCTGCTGGATTCAAGAGGGAGCGGTAGCAGAGGGGCCTCCTCGTTACCTGTCGAGCTATTGATCAACCAGCTGAAGCCGATTCATCAGTTTGGGTCTGGGGAAAGGGCAAGCTTTGGAGACATAGCGCATTCACCAGCTTCATCACCTTCGGCAGCACCACCACTATAAACGTTGTTCTCGGCTCCGTTTCATCCATCCTTGTCAACATCTTTTGGACACACCAACTATCGTGGACTGAAGCCGTGCTCCATACAAAGGTAAATGCATCTCCTGTCTTTAACTCTAGTTTAAGGCTTAGAAACTCATGTAGGAGCTGCAGCCAAGCTGAGCAGACAACGGATGAAGAATCTATACGAAGTAACAGACTGATGAGGACCACACCATTATGACTGGAGGGAAAGATCGTGCTACTGGACACCTTTGGGCTTCACGTAATTTGATTTTAGTCCATAACTATTGGAGGAGCGGGCTCCTTTGAGTGTTTGAAACGGATAAATGGCGCCATACAAGTGCTGTGGATCGTCATCATTTTTTAAAATTGTTGTACTCAAGGACTGTGAGACTAGTATCTGCTCTAATATTAGATAGATTTGTAGAGTTGAGAATTTTCACCAGATACTTCTAACCAATCCTAACCTGACATTTCAAGGGGTCAAACATTTATTATGCTTTACAGTAATAAGATTGATGTTACATAACATTCTTACAAAATCAATTCTTATAACATTCCCCCTCCCCCTTCTTTGTCGTTGCTTTCTTCTTGAGACGTGCTCTATACATGTACATGTATTTGCCTTATTTTGCCTTTACCTGTACATTGCAAATTGATACAATAGACACAATACTTAGGGTTGAAGGGAGGGAATTGTTATTAGCAGCTGGCTACAATTGATGTATTTACATTGTTTTTTGACAAGTTTCATGAATTCATCTGATGAGGGAGGGGGGGGGGGGGGGGTCACTACCTGTTTGATTGCCCATGTGTTTGAGTATTACACAGATTTTTTTCTTCAGATGTATAACATTTCAACTGTAGGCTACCATTTATCACCTTGGTGTGCTTGCCCAGAACAGAAATTTTGGCATACACTTGATAGAAATGTATGCATTTTCACATGTAATTGTATGATTCCATACATTTTTCGGAACACAATCGGTTAGTCTACAGTGTATGCTGATTTTAATAATATTTGAAGCCCCCACCCCAAAGGTAATGGTAGTCACATGTAAGCCTGCCTTTTATGAGAGTTGATTTTGACATCTTAACTTGAATTTTTTTACTGGCCCTTAGTATTGTTTATGACTGAACATTTTCTAAAGAAACTTGGAAAGAAAAACAACAACATATATATGTTTACCATAGTAATGAGACTTAGACGTTTTGCATAGAGTGAGCAATAACTCGTCAGTCTTGATTAAGGGAATTTCTTAATTTGAATTTGGATACGAATGATATGCTACAGGTAGACCCTTGCAGAGATGCCAACCAGTACAATTTTATCGTATTTAATACGATAAAAAAAGTGAAATACGATAATACGATATTGCCGCTTAAAAATACGATTTTTATCTTTTAAAACAAAGAAGAAAGATATAAACCGCGGAATTGCATAAAAACATGTACAAGTAAACCCCCAAACCCCGACAAAAACGTTGAACAACGAGGCTACATGGGAGGGCATTGGCAGCTTTACAATTTTTTCATGAAATGTTAATGAAAGAGCAAACATTTTACTTGCCCGCTCTTACCAGTAAAATATTTTTCTCAACATTTTACTGGCCCAGGGCCAACGGGCCATTGGTAGCGTTGAGTTTTCGTGAAAATCTGAACTTTTTAGGATATTCAATCTGTTTTTTGTGTCAAGAGGTTGGCATATCTGCCCTTGGCCAAACGTCTTGAACTTTGATATGTTTTGGTACTAAGATAAATATAGCAGTAAAAATAATGATTTTGCCTGTTTGGAAAATTTGATGACCTTGAGTAGCCTACAATAGGAATTGGATTAGATTAAATTTCAAAATACTCTTTTGATGTACTTCTTTTATTTGAAATAATAAAGGATAATTATGATAAATAGCACTGAGGTTAAAATTATTAATTACGGCAATACTTCTAGACGTCTTTTTTTTTTTTTTTTTTTTTTTACTTGAGGCCAACTTTGGCTGGTAGAAATTTTTCGAGGCACACCTAACAAAAACTTAATGAGATAATCAATCAAACAAAAACAAAGAAACAATTAAACATGATACAAGTAGAAGAAAAAAGAAGAAGAAAAAAAGAGGAAGAGTTGTGTGGTATATATTATGCCACTGTCAGTTGTAACTTGCAAAGAGACTCTCAAGCTTGTTTTTTTGGAAATAAGATGATCAAGTTGTGATTTGATGTTTGACAGGTTCACACAGTATTATTCAGAGGGTCTGTTTATAAACAATTTTGTGGTTTCGTCAGCCAGTTCTTTGCAAAACAGTAGATCCTCATAAACATAACTGTCCCTACAATATCTCACAAAACTAGCAATAAAGTAGCATTCTTATTGACAGTGGATTCATCCAACTGAATGGAAATATACAAACTGGCTTTTGTCATTCGGGGAAAATACCCGATATGTCATAAAATTAGTATTAAAGCAGCATTCCTAATATCATAGGATTTATCCAACTGAATGGAAAAATATGGACCAGTCATAATTTCAACAGGGTTTGTTCAAAATCCATGAAACTTGTACCCAAGGGTTATCAAGTATCACAAATCATATGACACAAATTCCAGGTCACAAGTCAAGGTCTAAGGTCACATTAGGTCAGCAGACTTGAATGATGTTTTTCACAACTTAATATGAGAATTGATAAATCAATTTTTGTTATTTGTTCATATTTAATGAAAGTTATCAATCTTGTTACAAATAATAGTAAATAATTCTTCTGATGATTCTTAGTAAATATTAACTTCTTAATGCTGATTATATTCAGAGGATTTCATATTTTGGGTCCTGCTAATGGGCCACCCTGCCTATAAATAATGTTCAAAGTTTCAAACCTCAATTTTTCATCATATTTTATTGCGTAATGCAGGCGAGACCGCCGAGAGCGTTTCCCTTATCTAAAATATTTGTTGGCCGACCTCACGGCCCACCTGAGAGAGCTTCGCGGCCCACTTGTTGAGAAGTGTTGAATTTGAAGAATTTCAGTATATAATTTTTAGTCCTTCTGTAGTGATGCAAGTTATTTGATAAAAACCTGTAATCACTGATTTATCAACCACAAAATTAACATCTTTGACAAATTTAAATTCCCTGCATGAATGAGATTTTAAAGCCCATGTCCAGTTTTGGCTATACCCCCAAAACCTTTCACAAAATTTCTTTGAATTTAGTTGACAAATCATAAATGTTATGAATTTTTTTCCTCCTCGTGTGGCATATTGAATAAAGGAGAGGTGGAGAGTAATTTATGTGAGAGGCCGAGGCAAATACATACATTCCCTCATGTGATGGTCACATGTTTAAAAAAAAAAATAGAAGATCTCTGAAGGTTAATGAATATAATTTGCATGAACCTCAGTGCTGTTTGTTTGTAGCTTCAAACTGATGTCTCTTTCATACATGTACATGTAATTCGGTACTAAATCACAAGAAAGGATGGACAGAACATCAACATACATGTATCTGGCGCGTTTATTTTGATACAAGTGGAACACTGTGAGGACATCCAATTTCTTTTTTGCTACTACAGAACTAAATATAGTTTTATCACATTTAAAAAAATTTACATTTGACTTTTCTCCAGTTAATCAAAGTATCAAACACATTCTTTATGACTCCGCTATAAGGTAGCTGGAGGCATTATGTTTTCGGGTTGTCCGTACGTCCCGTTCTCGTGGTCGCGTTATCTAAAGAACCAATTTATGGATTCCCGCCAAACTTGGGTCATGTATCTATCTTGCAGAGCCAATGAACTGATTAGATTTTGGGGTCACAAGATCAAAGGTCACAGGGCTCATTATGTATGCTAAAATAGCCTGTGATCGCGTTATCTCAAGAACCCATTGATGGACTCCCACCAAACTTAGGTCATGTATGTATCTTGCAGAGCCAATAAACTGATTAGATTTTGGGGTCATGAGGTCAAAGATCAAAGGATCAAACATGTTTATGAAACTGAGAACCTTTTAACGGATTGCAATCAAACTTCAATTTTAAACAATTCTTCTGTTTTGGTTTGTAAAATTGCTCCATGGCTGAGGCGTCATTTCGAACTGCGCGCAGTTGAAGGTCCATCTAATTCTTCATACAGAAAAGGAAACCTAACATACCGGTACATATACATCTGATAAAAAGTACGTTCACACACTCTTTAATGCTACATAAATCACTACTTGTAGATACACAATTTTAAATGTAGATTTTCACTTTGGGGACTGTATACTGTTAACACAGAAATATTTGCGGTACATTAATTTTCGCAGATTTCGCACTAAGATCGGCAAGCGCGAATTTTAGAACTCGCAAATATAATGACTTATTATGTGTTTTTTGAACAGGCTGAATTGCGTTCAACGCGAATGTAGGGACCCGCGAATATGTTTTGAGGTCGTTCAGCGCGAAACATTAGTCACAGGAAAGTAACAGCGTTTACAGTACCCCTTATGCTTTGATGCATTGCTTCATGATGGCCACACTATCAAAACTCTGCTAAAGCTAAAGCCTCGGTCACAAATGCCATTACGAACGATTTTCAGACAATGGAAATTCGGGAAGACAATGGAAAAACAGGGAGATTCGTACAAAACTATCGTTTGTACGAACCTTTGTGACCGTAGCATTAGAGAGAGAGTACCGGTACCGTAAATGCTTTTTGTGCAGACTTTGCCTACCACTTCATTCACTATACTTATTAGTGCTGTAGTCAAACGTTTAACCGTCCGGTATCCGACCGCCCATGGCGGATTCCGTTTTCAATTGGACGGTTTCGTTTTCCTGTTTTTTTTTTTTTTTTTTTTTTTTTTTTTTTTAAAGTTTCGAATTATGCCCCTCCACCTTGCACTATGCCTGGCAATGTCTCCCAGCTCAGTAATCGGTGTGATGACTTACCACTTGGAAACTAGAACAACACTCCATTGTGTCTGTCATCTTGGTTTGAAAGTAATCTTTGTAATAGATCTCAATATATATATTCATCCAAGTTTAACACATGGTGTACCACAAGGTTCTATCCTAGGTCCTCTACTGTTTTAATTTACTTTAATGATCTTACACAT